TTTTTTAATAAATACATTACATTTTAATTAAATTAAATGACATTAACCTTTATTCATAACTAGTGAAGAGTATCATCCCAACGTAATCGAAAGCAAACACTTCACCATGTTTCTAAAGCAATATCTCCAACCCACATATCAAAAATATTTTAGAAATACTGTTCGTTTGGACGCTATTGCTTTACAACATAAAAAAGGAATTGGATAATAAATAATTTAAATAAATATAGTTGTATTTTATGTTTTACGTCTAGCCTGTGGGAGTATTATATTAAAGATAAATGTTAAAAAGCTTTTATTGTTCACCACCTAAATAAAACGTGGATAATGCATAAAATTTATTGTTATTAAATTAATTGAATTTCTTCGCAATGCTTCTAATATTTTTAAGTCTTTAATGTGTACTATTAACGAATTTATTTTAGAGAGTAAAATTCGTAGTTTTAAATTGCAACAGCCAACAAAGCAATATTGATAAATTAGCTCGACATCTTAACCCCGATTTTGGTGCTATTCTCTTTCATTTTTGTTGTATTTGTCATATTAGACGAAATTAAAATCGCTCCTGCTTTAATTTGTTTCAGGGTTAAATTCATCAATGATCACCAAACTTTATACTTAATATCACCATGGTTACCCAATGTGATTTTATTTTACCATGGCTACCCAAATTTATATTAGTATCACCATAGCCATTCAATTTCATATAACATTTCATCATGGCCATTCAACTTCTTTTCACTATTTTCACTAATTTTAAAAGAGGTAAAATGATAATTTGCATTATATATATAAAATAACTTTTTAAAAAACGAAAATCTTAATAATGGTTAGTTCTAGTAGGGTTGATAAATATTCTAGTACGTCTTCTTCCCTCGCGTAATGTACGTCGAATATTAGTACAAATGGAATATTGTTAGAATTCAATAGGTATTTGGCTCATGACATCGACCTTGTGTTTTAGAATCGATAGATGCAAAAAATTTGGTGTTACTTAAGTTTTGAGAAAAGAATTAAAGTCAATATCCAATTGTTTCCCGTATAGCACGTGATTTACTAATACCTAAGAACTATAGCATCGAAGTTTGATTTTAATGCAGGTGGTAAGATTTTGTTTGAGTACATATCAAGACTTAAAAATGATGTACTAGAGAATTTAATACATTTAAAAGGATTGAAAAAATGCAGAGTTTTAAATCCAAGATAAATTGAAAAATATTAGCTCACTAGGTGAATGATATCAGTCTATCATAATTTATAATTACTTCCATCAAGTAAATTAATTTTCTTTAATATTTTTCACTTTCTAGAAAAATTGTATTAAATAACAACTCATTAGTGTACAATTTTAACATCGGCTATATTATAAGTAACAAATTCCAAGTTCGAAAAAAAGAGATGAGGGTTTCAAAAAGTATTTTTAAAAGAGAAATTGAAGAGTTGCTTGTGGACCCACTCGAGCCATAGGCAAACGAGCCTATGAGCCAAATCGACCCTCATATTTGGGCATGAGTCGAGCTCGATTCGTCTCAATCTCTAACTATCTAAATCTTTATAATATTTGTTTATTCTATATTTTGCCTAAAGCTGACCACGCCTTTCAATCAAAATATGCACAAAATTAAAGAAATTGATAGTATTTTAAGTAAACTTGACAATATTGACTCTGTGAAAGATAAATACCTCTTAAGCACAAGGAGATCAATTAATTATAAATCAATTCCTCAATAATTTATATCAAATAGGAGACATCAAGGCATACAACCAAATGGTACAACACAAAAGTATTTTTCTCGGTTATGCTATTTTTATTCTTCTCTCTCTGTATATAGCAATGGAGTTTAGCAAATATTTAATTATTCTATCCCTAAACTTAGTCCTTAACCTAAACTAAATCACAAAGATAATCAGAATTTAAGAGTAATCTCATTTCCATTGCTCTCTTCACCTTCCTCCTTTAGCATCAAGCTTTTTCTCTCTCCATTTTCCACAACACTATCAGCTTTCCAGCTGCTGCTCTCAGACTTCCCATCTTCCATGCTTTCAGACCGATCAAAAGTTCCGCCCGGGACATCGGACCCGGGTGAGCTATGTGTCTGTGCCTGTGCCTGTGATACTGATGGCTTATACACATGGAGCTGGTGGTGGATGGGTGGCTGTGGCGCCGTTAGTGCAGAATAGAATTCTTGGGGTACTGGTTGTGCTGAACAGTAGGGTGCTGATACATGAGAAGAGGGGTGTGCACCGTAAAGAGCAGCTGGTGCGGCGCTGCCATGGGCGGCAGCTGCTGCATATTCTTGTGGAACCCATATGCCTCCAAGGACCACCACTTGGGTACCTGCTGTGGCTGCTGCTTGTGGGCTAGGACTCGGTCTTCTAGTGTGAAGTCTGTATTTCTGAGTACAAAGAACAGACCATATAAGCATAGTGCATAGTTTTACCAGTACTTTGTGTACTTGTGTGTCCTAATCTGAATTATAAACAGGACTAAGGATGATATATTTCTTTTGAATCATGCTACAGTTTCAAATATTTTGATATAATCTTTGATCCAGTGACATTTCATCATTGAACTATTTTAAATACAAATAACTTTTCTATCAAATTATCTGCTGCTATCTTGAATTACGTCATTGCATCTTTCAAATTTTTTCAATCATACTATAAGTACAAAAAATTTTAACAGAAGATTTTGACAAACGACACATGGTTTGAAATCATTTGAAGGTGAAAAAAACACAAAATAACAAGCAAATTAGATTTCGCCACGTCTGCATGCATCTGTATGAATTTTGTAAGAAAATCCTTGTACTTGAAACTTTTTCCAATTTTTTTAGTGGCAACATCCATTTCTTTTTTAATTCATATGGGTCCCGCTTGGTCCCAATCCATTTGTGAGGGTGTCAAGCGTCAATTTTTTTGGGTCAAAGTAGTATAACTCTTTCTTTCGGTACAATGAATGAGTGTGTGTGTGTGTGTGTGTGTGTGTGTGAGAGAGAGAGAGAGAGAGAGAGAGAGAGAGAAAAATGGGTGCCTGCAAATGGCTTTTTACTTCATCATTGGTCAAACCATCAACCTTCATGAATTCTCTGATTTGTTTCGGCGTGGCCACTGCAATTATTATTATCCATAAATGATTAGACTCCCATGATGAAGCAGACCAATCATTGTACTAATAAGAAAGATAGGACTCCTGTGAGTAAACATGCAAATGATAGTCTTCTTTTTTGTCTCCAGAACGAAGTTAAAAAGTATGGTTAGCTACTGGTGCATAGACGAATACGTTATTCTCTCTTGCACCTTTAACCGCAGATCTGATCAATTACCTTGAGAACCACCTAGCATCTGAAGAGCACTAACGAAACGCCTGTGCAAATCCGGTGACCAGCATCTCCTTGCTTTCCGTTGAGTTTGCGCGGAGGTCGAGTGGTTGTTTCCGGCGGTTTGTGTATCTTTAACTTGCCCTTTCTCGGCTGATGAATCAGTACACTTACCAGAATTTTCTCTCCTAGCTTCTGAGTTCTTTTTATGTTCTTCCATCTCCTTGAGGGATGAAGAAAGAGCCAAATCTGGGAAACTTGGGCTTGGACATGAATTTTTCTCTTTTGAAAATGGATGAAAAGCTCCTCCATTACTCTGCCTGTTATCTAAACCTAGCTTGGGTCTGACTCCAAAACCCAGATCACTTTCTTTTGGAGATGATTGATGCTTTGTAATTTCTTCATTTGCTTGAGTCCATAGTTGTACAGAAGTCATCCAGTTAGTTTTATCTGGCATGCTTATAGACTTTTCAATTTCTTCAGAACTTGCGTTTTTAAGTGGAATAAATTCTTCAAGAACTGGTCTTTGCCCTGCACTCGCCCTATGGGATTGAAGCTGTTGCCTTGATGCCTCCATAGCTGGTAAAAAAATGTTTCTCATCATAAACTAAAAAGCCAAATATGGGTATTTTTGTTGAATTTTTTTCTGGGATTTTTTAAAAGTTTTAAGATATAATATTTTCTCATCTACAATAAAAGTTGTGCCAATAAAAAGATATTTCTCACATGATTAAGAACATAACCCTATTTCAAAAGCCATGAATATCCATTTCAAGAAACTACTGGTAGAATATATAGAATATACATGTTCAGATGTAAGATAAATATGAATAGTATCAAAAATGAGTTGAAACTTGAAACCTTTTAGACGAGAGGTTAACAGAAAAAACTAACCATTGGTGAGAAGTTGGATGCAAAGTGGAAGTTCACGTTTGAAAGCATCAATCTTGAGTCTTTCTTCTTCAAGACAAGCTAGAAATTCTTCAAGTTTTTTGGTATCAGAATCAGCAATCTCTCCTCTAAATGATTTAAGCAGCATGGAATGGCTGTAGGGTTTGCAGTCAAGGCTTAGTTCAGACGATGAAGTCATAATTTTATCCTTGTAAATATAAATTCAATAATCTGTGTGAATACTAATGTTGATCAACTTATAGTAATGATGATGATAAAACGAGAAACCAAAAAAAGGTCAGCAATAAAGGGTGGTATTGGCTGATTCTTTCTGTGTTTGAAACCTAAATGGTGGGAGAGAAAGCGAAGGGATGTCGTTTGTGAACATAAGAAGGATTGAGAGGACCTGGGGGTGCCTTCTTTTTTAGGGTTGGGTTCGAGGAGAATAAAGTTGAGTTTTGGAGAGAGAAAGTAGGAAAAGGAAAAGGGTTAAAGATAAATAAAGAGAAAGGATGGTACCTTCTTGCAAAGAAAGACCAAAGGCTACAATATATTCATCTGTGAAGGAGTGGATGCCCAAAGAATAAGTTGGCCGCTCACACCTGAGGGGTCACGAGGATGGATTGTGCTACGTGCGATGTACACAATCCTTTACATCCCCTCACATGAAGGGGCCCATGCATAATAATTATTCGTGGGCCTCCTCTATGTGTGAGGGGTGTCACCGTGTATGTACACTACACAGCATAATCCCACGAGGATAGAGCAACAGCCTGGTTTTAGAACCTTTGTATGTGTCTCTATGGGTCCCTGCCTTGGCTAGGAGGGTGGAGGAGTTTGTTATCGTCTTTGTAGGATTCCAAGTAATACACATTTGGGAAAATTAGAGCTATCCTTAGCCCGTGTACGGTGGGAATTAAAATTGGAATTTTAGTAATAAATTCTAACGATATTGTGTTTACATAAGTCTCTATTTGTTAATATGTTCTTCCGTTAGTGATTCATTTTTATCCTTGCAGTTATTAATTTTTTATTTATTCTTTCCTTAGTTACTAAATTGTTATTTATCGTTTTGTCTAACACATTCGATATATGCACTTAGTATGCAATTTAGACAGGATTAATTACCTTTAAGCAGTAATAATGATTGAATAATGGCAGAGAATTTAGCATAATTATACGGCTAGTGGTACTTTAACTAGTCCTTTAGGGTTCTTAAAATGTGTGAACGATTCTCTGCTCTCATCAATCCTTTATACACATAACATATATGATGATGGTTTTAAGGAGCATAATATTCATTGACTTTATTGAAAGGTTTAAACAATTATATAAATTGAGCCTGTTTGGTTTGAATTAAAATTTGATTTTAATTTAAATTAAAGTCAAACAATCAATATTAATCACATCTTTCATAGGTATCACAAATTTTCAGTCACATATTTCAAAAACTTTATTAGAATATGCTAAAAATTTAATTTTAATCCCCACCAAATACCCTCTTATCATATTTATCTTTATTTAAAAAAAAAAAGAACTACATGTAGGTAGCATCGAGACAGAAATCGAGACGTATTGTTACAATTTATAAAAGAAAGGAGGGGTGGGATGAAATATTGAAATGGGGTAGAGTATCAAATGCAATTTAGCCACTTTCTTTTTGGTTTCAAAAGTTGCGTAATTAAAGTGAATTAGGAGAGGAAAAAGCGAATATTTGAGACATTCATTAGAAAGAATAAAATATTTGGTTTCTAAGAAAGGAATATCTGTCTGTGTTCCAATTCTAAGATTCTAAATTAAGAGCACAAAAACCCACGAAGATTAAAAGGAGGAAACAAACCCTACCCTCCAATAATAAAGTGATGGAATCTTCTTCTGCTGCTACCAACTTTAATGAAGTGGATGGTAAGGTAACAAGATTCTCATAACTATTATTTTACTTGGGTGGGTTCTCCAATCCCACACTCTATGGATTCACAATTAGCTAATATGTACGTGAAACACGCACAATATTAGATAATGATGGACAGTATTACTGACATCGAAATTCATCAACAGTTAAAATGTACAAGAATCTTAAAATTTTGTAATTCTAAGAATTAAAATATGTACATTTGAATTACCCTTCCCCCACCACAACTAATAAATAAACATTAATATTTAGCTAAAATATACATAGTGTGCAAGTGTACTATGTTAGATTATATTGGACGATATTGTTGATAGGGGATATATATATATGATCAACCTCGTACAAATTTTTTATTTTATTTTATGCCCCGACTCCATCAATGACTGTGGACAAACAAAATCCTCAACAGTCAAAATGTACATGAATCTTCAAATTCTGTAATGTCAAGGATTAAGGTATGTCCAATAAAATTTGACCTATCTGATTTGGAAGATTATATAAGCAAGCAGGACTTTGCTTGATGTACATAATTTTTGTCGTGGGTTCCACCCCATGTGAGAGGCATGGACACCTTTATGGACAAAAAATATGTACATCTAAAATTTTCCAAGCAAAAAATCCCGTTCTTTTTTTAGGATTAGAGTTCGAAATTTTGAGCATGGGTATTTGAAGGTGCTCTATGAATTTTTTATATTTATGTAAAACTAAAAAAAAGAGAAGAATTAAAAAAATAAAAATAAATAAAAATCAACTTGATTCTTGATTCACCATTATATTTAGGGGCGGACCCTCTAAGGAACGAGTGGGGTCGGCCATCCCATTAAATTTTCAAAAACTTTCAATTTAATCTCGTTAAATTTAAATTTTCAGATTTTTTTTGGTTTTTTTTTTCACAATTTATTTTAGATAATTTCCCGTCTTGTCGTCATTGAAGAATAATTCTAGGTCCGCCCCTAATTATACACGAGAAGTAGACTGAAAAAAAATAGTTCTCGATTGCATAAATCTTGGTACCAAATTTGTTTTCTTTCCAATTAGACTTCTCTTTCCATCTAGTTTCACTGAATTTTACTCATCCTTGCGACTAAGACATTTAAAACTCGATATAAACAAATAGCATTTTAAATGCGAGTTATTATTTAAGTTACTTGGACAAAATCAGAGCTTCAAACTTTTCAATCTTGAAATTCAGTACTACCTACCTGTCATACTCTACAATAATTTTTTTTTTATTTTAGGAAAATACGTATAATACAAACTAAACCATTTTATAGCAAATCAAACTATCGAAGACATTTGCAAGTTGATATAAACAAAATTTTGAATGTGCGAGTAACTATTTAAGTTACTTAGACAACAATGAGAGCCTGAAACTTTTTCAATCTTGAAATTCACTACAACCTCCATTCATATTCTATAATAATTTTTTTTTTTTAAAGAAAATACATGTATATTACAAACTAGACCATTTTATAGCAAGTCAAACTATCAAAAGAAATACGTTCAAAATTACTTTGAACTTTAAAGATTAAAGTGATATCTTTTCTCCTTTCAGTTTCTTATGTTACAAGTATCCATATATGTAAAAATAATAATAATAATAAAATAAATAAAAATGCACAAGAAATATTAAATGTGTGGACATCCTTTTATGCTTATTTTAACAGAGAGTGAGATTTTCTTAGATACCTTCGTTTAATATGTAGATACTTAATTTTTGCATGTTCTATGATTACGTTAGGAGATAATCCAGTTTTGGATGACAAAGGATGAAAAGGAACGAATTTTGATTAAAAAAAAAAAAAAATTGAAGTTGGATGAATTCTTGAATTTGGGAACCAATGTAATGAGTTTGAAAGTAGAAGGGCCTAAAATGCAATATTAAAGTACTTGAGTTGAGCAGGAAACGGAATCGAAGACTAAATTGCACAAACTTGCGAAGTGTCGACCCTTGCGACCACAAAGGTCTATTGAGTTGCGAACGCATAGGCTTAGCTGGGGTAGGAATCTAGTTTTCTAATCCGACTCAAACTTCATTTTGACATTATGGACATGACTTTCAACCTAACTAGACGACCATAAATAAGATTTACTCAATTCCTTTTAATGGGGAGAGACATTCTTGAGTAAATATTTATATCCATAGATTCTAAAGAGTTTGTGATTAAAATTTGGGTTTGTAGGTCGAATACCGTAGATTTTTCCGGAGATCTCCAATAATCAAGGAAAGAGATGAAGAAACATTGTTGTGATTCTTGTGACGAAGAATATCAAGAACTCAAATTCCTAGGGCTGGACATGGTCCGGTTCGGTTCGGTTCTAACGAGAACCGAACCGACTCGAAATTTTCGGGTATTTAGTAAGTAGAACCGTCGGGTCCAAATTTAATTACGGAACCGTTCTGGTTCGGTTCCATTCGGTTCGGTCCGGTTCGGTTCCATTCGGTTCCGTATTATAATTAAATTTTTTAATATATACAAAATTACGTTAATTTAATTAATGATATATTTAATATTAGCTCTTACAAAATCACGTAGTTCAATCTTATGTGTTTCACGTCTATCTTTGCTGAATTTTTCATAAATTTGATTATTAAAATCACAGAAAGAGAAAGATAGCGAGCTCAAAATAATTAAGAGAGATGTTGTAGAGTTTTAATTCGATTTTCTCCTATAGAAACGACACTATAGTAGAATAATAGATTTGGATAAAATTGAGGTCAATTTCATTAAGTCGATTTTGAACTGAATATTAGAAATTGGAAAATCATATTTTGTAGTTTGAACTAAATTAACTAGTTAACAAATTTATTTAGAAAAAATAAAATAATTTTACTCATTTAAAATAAATTAATTAAAAAAATTACGGAGATTCGGTTTTTATTCGGTTCTTCGAGTCTTGGCCTAGAACCGAGAACCAAACCATACCCGTCGGTTCCTAATTCAAATACCCGTTCGGGTATTTAACTTGAGAAGAACCGTCGGGTTCGGTTAGGTTCGGGTTCGGTTCGATCGGTTCGGTTCGGGAGTTTTGTCCAGCCCTACAAATTCCTTTCATCTTTGTTCGTTGTAATTGAACTTGATAATGCTCTCAATCTTTTACTTGTATTTTTCCGTAATTATTAGTGGCTAATTATTTAATTGTTATGATGATATAACTTAGGTTATTAATCTTAAAATAATACAAAGACTTCTTGTAAACTTTATGATGTGATAATTGCTTATTCTAGGTTTAATTTAATTCAATTACTTGATTATTCAGTACAACCTACCAATCATTCTCTATATTACATGTATATTACAAACTAGACCATTTTATAGCAAATTAAACTATCAAAGAATAATAAGTTCAACATTACTTTGAACTTTAAAGATTAAAGTTATATCGTTTTCCATTGATCAATATATCATGTTGCACGTATACATGTATGTATGTATGTAAAAAAGTGTACAAGAAAGATTAAAATTGTGTACATCCTCTTATATTTATTTTAACAAGTATGAGATTTCTTAGATATTGATAAGTATGATTTGTATAGTTAACTGTGCTATAAAAAAAATGGACGTTTTGGGAGTGCATTTAACATGTAGACACTT